CCCATACGTCCGGAGTTGCTGAAATATGGATGTTGTTTTCCTGGTTTGAAGGGTTACGACGTCCATTTGCTGAAATATGGTTGATTTTTCCCTGGTTTGGAGGGAATCTTAGGGAGTTGATCTCTGCTGGAAATATGGGTTCTTTTGTCCCAACGGGCTCCGGCAAAGGAAGACTGCCGGGTTGCGGAATTTAGGAAGTCCAGCGGGGCTCTTGAGCACGACCCTCGCGGCTCCCGATACAATGGACAACAATCCGCAACAACAGGAGGAAGCGCCAAATATCGCATACCCCGTTCACGGCCGTTTGCTGTATGTAGTTGCTTTCCTTTTGCGGCCAGCTCAATGAATTCGGGCACCTCAAGTTCTCCAGTTGAAAGGTTTCGGGGGTATGTGCAAACTCGGATATCAAGAAGCTTGGCATGTCTTGGGTTCCGTTTTGTTGGGGGTTAGGTCAGCTGTCGACGGGCCTGGGCTGCTTGACACGGCTGCGGGCGTTTGAGGGCGCCATCTTGGAGGGGGATGAAGAGGCCACATTCTTAGCATAGGTGTCCTTTATAGGTTAGTTTGGTTTAAATTGATGGCACTGGTTTAGGTGGGGTTCCTCCGTTTACCAGGGCCATCTATTCTTTCAAAAGGCCACCTATGATTATTAGTACTTTGGTGCATCTCTTGCAACAGGAGAACCTCCTTTTTTTGGGGAGGGGCCCTATTTTGAGACTAATCTGTTTGTTCCAGCACCTCCCAGCAACTGCTTCCTTGAGTTCAAGGAAACTGCTGAAGTTTGTTGCTGTTTGGGAAGCACTTAGTTTCGCATGAGTCACAATCAAAACCCGGGAAATGGCGGGTAGAAAGGGGCAATCCCAGCCATAAATGGGTGCGGTGCGGCCGCCTTTTCAATTCTTTACATGGTTGTTGGTAGCAGCAGTTACTGGGTGGACTTGTTGTAGGCTGGAACGGGCGACTTCTGGGGAGTGTCTGTGCCATCTTTTGCGGAGTCCGGGAAAAGGGGTCACCACTGTGGCAACACCCATTGATCGAACGCGATTCAGAGTCTTGCGGTTCCAACAGGTGCTTTTTGTTTGGCAGTGCAAATCAAACGGGGCCGCTGTATGCGCGTTTTGAACCCTCGAGCAACTCGGCAGCCTGTGATGCAATTGAGTACAGACTCTTGGCGGTGGTGCCTGCGGGGAGGGAATCAGGTATTCAATTCGACCGCGCTCCTCTTGTGACTCGCGACTTTGACGGCCAGAATGTGTCAAAGCAAAGGCGATTTTTTCCATTTGGCCAGTTTTTGTTTTTCTTGTGGTTGCCATCCTTATAAGAATATGTGTTATTTTCCCTGTTGGTTTTAAAGGGAATCTATCACTACTGGACATGGAAGCATCTGAGACCCCAAAACTCACACTTCGCTGTCGGATGCCGTTCGGCCCCAGCTGACAAGCTGCATGGCTTGCGCATGCTTGGGCCAGGTCAAAGCAGCTGAAGCTTCGGACAGTGCCTTGCAAGTCTTGAGCCCAGTCATCCCCATCAAGCACGCTGCAAGAAGCCACAACGAGCAAGCCACTTCAAGCAAACCAGACCTCAGATATTCCTGACAGAAAAACCGGCCTATCTTCCTCTTGGTATTTCTCCATAGTCCTTGGTGCCCAAACCTCCTCTTCCCGCCAGCCAGCCGCTTTCCATGGCTTTGCGCTGGTCCGCCGCTGCCTCGAATCGCATCGAATCCGAGGTTTGGTTCTCTTCAAAGTAAGGAAGTAAAACGTGCACGCCCACACATGCATTTATCTAGACGATCAAGACTGGCAACAAGAAATCCATTTGTTTGGACGCGCCTCCATTCTTGAGACCGGCGCGTCATGTTGTGTTGCACCATGGATATAGGCGGGCTATGCATTAGTTGGCGATGTCTTAACCTTTGGATTTTGGAAACGGATGGACACATACTTCTGTTTCTTTTTTGTTTGTGTGTGTGTTTGATGATAGATGTTATTGTTTTATGATTATTATTATTATTATTATTATTATTATTATTATTATTATTAACTTTATTTATTATTATTATTATTTATTATTATTATTAGTATTATTATTATTATTATTATTATTATTATTATTATTATATTATTATTATTATTATTATTATTATTATTATTATTATTATTATTATTATTATCATTATTATTATTACTATTACTATTACTATTATTACTATTATTATTATTATTACTATTATTACTATTATTACTATTATCATTATTATTATTATTATTAGTATTATTATTATTATTATTATTATTATTATTATTATTATTATTATTATTATTATTATTATTATTATTATTATTTATGTTTTTCTCATATTGGTGTATGTCGGTTTGTCCGTGCCAGCACCAGCAGATGCCCGTGTTCGGAAGATTGGATTTAGTCGGTCGAGTTGCATATCCAACCACGCATGCCCATAACAACAAGAGGTTACTCCGTTGAGCCTTTCGATGGGTCTCCGTTGTGCAGAATCAACAGATTTGTTTTGGGCGAAAGTTGAGGACGGACAGAATCCTGCACCACCTAAGACACCCTAGGATGATGATTCCGCTGCAAATGCCAACACACGTTATGGCTTCCCATGGTTTCAAAGTTCTGCAGGATTTCGTCCATCCACAGGGGATAGATTTCAGGAAATCGGATGAGATTCCTTTGGTCGATGTCAGCTCTTTGCGAGCGACATCCTGAAACCGGCGAAGGGCTCAAGAAAGAGGTCCTTTGGGCATGGTCTTCCTGGGTAGCAATCGCTTCTCCCAATGGCGTGAGCGATGGCCGGGGATCCGGTTCCGTTTGGGTGGATGGGCCTAAGTGGCTTCCCATGGCTCCAGCCCTCGTTTGGTGCGGGAAACTCGGCATCCCGAAGGATCAACCTGGCTTGAGCGGTTGTTGTCACAGGCACAGCTGGGATCCCATTCGCTTTGGGCGTGAAATGGACTCAGCAGAAGTTACCAAAGCAGACTTCAAGAGGAAACCGACAAATAGAACTGGGCAAACACAGCAGGAGAAAGCCCCTCATGCCAGGGAGACAAGCCGTGGTCTTTGGCTATTTGCTACTGCTCATTTCATGAGAACCGATGGACTTCCCATCCGATCTCAAGTCCCTTGGGCGGGTCAGTGGAAAACCGAGGATATCAAGTTGAAGGGCGTCCCCTTTTGCTTGCAGTATTGGCAATTCGCAGCTGGTTGGATGCCGGGGAAACATCCACCAAGGCTCTTGCTCGGGCGGCCAGAAAGCCTGCCCCAAAGCCGGGCACTGAGAGAAACTGGGATCCGGGCGCTTGCACCTGAATCTCTATGCCCCATCTTTTGTTGGGAGAGTTCTCCAAAACCCGGGACCGGCCCAACTGGCCGCTTAACGAGACAGTTTGCCGAATATGCCCCATGCCAACCAAAAAATAAATGCCCTTTTTTCCTATGGAAATCCACTGGGCATCTGAGAAAGCTGAACCGACTCCGGGTTCTCTTATTTTGTGGAAAGAGACCTTTGGCAGAGGATGGTTACTCACAGTGGTTTGCAACCACGACGTTACCGTTCTTTGTATCCCCAGGTTGTGTATGATGAGTCGCATTTGCGCCAGTCTAAAGGCCTCATAGCTGGAGCACTGTTCTTGCCCAAAGTTCGAAGCCATTTCAAGGCTGCATATGTCCAAATAGGACAATCTAGAGCGACTGGAAGAGACCATATCAGGGCAGGGTGGTCGACCTGCAAGGGCTTCTACCCCTCTATGCTCTTTCCCAGTCGCTGCTCTTGGTCCAACAAGACTGCATCGGTGCAGGGGGCCGAGGCCCATTTGCCCAAAGATCCACCGACCATTTGACCGATCCGCCGGCCTTGATCCATTTCTTGTGAGCAAGTTGCAGACATGGATCATGTTTCCGGATCCTTTGAACAATTTGATACTTGCCACTTGATCATGCTTTGTGCTTGATTGCTATTGAGTTGGATCTTTAGACTCCAACTTGTTGGGAAATCAAGGGTTTTCCACTGAACCCACAAAAAGATAATATTTTTGCAGAGGGGTCAACAGCAACCAAGTTTTCGGCGCGAAGATTGCAACGTTGGGCAGCTGAGTTGCGGCTTGCGCATGCTGGACAAGACCGGCAACTCAACTCCACTTGCAAGAGGCAGATCCACGGCAAACAATTTCCATTGGATGTCCATTGGATTTATGTTGTGGCTAGAAACATATGGAACAATCAAGAATTATAAAGGGAGGCTTTAGAGCGTTCGAAGCATCCAGATCCACACTTGAAATTCTATACACTCACCCAAGTTGCGACCGATGCCCGAGGCGTCGATCGCTTTCGGGTGCAGAACATTGGTGGCAGTTTCGGGCCACTCGCCGGCTGAACATAATTTCCATGACCATGTTCATATCTTTTCCAGGGACTGGGTCATCCGATACACTGGCGCTAGATGGTTTTCATCTGGTGGTTTCAGGGAAGTGGGTATGCTCTCGCTTTTGACCAGGCCGAGCTTTGGCAAGGCGGGAAGCATTTGTTGCGCTTCTCGGGCCGGCAAGGAGACAATTTCTGTTGGACTTTCTGCTATTTTGTTGGGAAGCTTCACCCCCGAGATTCGAATCGCGGAACCACTGGATCAGAGAGTTCCAAACAGTGACCGGGCTTTGCAGCGGGTGGGGTGCTTTTTTTTTTTATCGCTTCGATGGTTGAAAATGGTTTTAGCTTAAAGGCTGTAGCATGGAGGCAGGAATCCAACTGTTCTTCAATGTGGCACACATAACAGCCTCCTAGATATTGAAGGAACCTAGGCGAGCCCTTTTTGCCACGTGGTTTGTTGTTCTTACGTTTGCCAAGTCTTGGAAACACATTGTATCACACAGCTGTCCAACGGAAGCCCATGACTGCATGGAACTCAATAAGCAGGCCATCAGCAAGTCGTAGGTCCGGTTTCGGTGCTAGAGGCTTAGGCGGGTGAATTTAGCAACAAACAAAAG